ACCCAGATTCCACTCCACAATATATGTTTGATCATGCTCATTTCCCAAAATGGCTTAATTATTATAGAGAAGAAGAAAGTCAACAGTTATGTTGTTTCTAGACCATTTGGGATGATCACATCCTGAGCAAATGATGATCAATTGTAGAATGGGAGAGGGTGTGGGACACCGAGAACCACCTAAGACAAATGGGTGTCAGAACTTAATTAACATACAGACTACAGCTGTTACAACAGGAGCAACTTCACTTACATTAAGGGTAGTAAACTGTAACTGTATAAAAGGTTTGAGTTTAGGATATTCTGGGTTCATTCCGACTCCGTTGAACCCAAGGTACTACATGTACTTTGTCACTTCTACTGAATGCACACTTGTGGACAAAGGACGTCCACACCACACTGAGAGAATGGACACAATGCAAGTGACAAAATGAAAACACAAAAAAAACACACAGACACACACACACACACACACACACACACACTATGTTGCCTGTTGATTGATGTTTTTGCTCTTTGGCCTTTGGCTAGGTTTGTACTGTCATAATGTTTAGTACATTTAGAAAATCTCTTTTGCTGTTATGTTTCTCAAGTGCTCCTCTTCCAAACCCAAAAAAAATGTTTGTGTGTCATTTTGCCAAATTTGAGAGAAGTCCCTATGATAATTTTGCCTAATTGGATGGAGCGACAACCAGTGTGCATGAGGTGTCGACTCAATGACGGGTAAGATTCTCCTTTGGCCAGAGGGGGGCAACCTAAGGCAGGGCTTCACCGCCACTGGGCACCTGCCCTGTAAGGGAGGTGTAATCTGTGTAACGGGAGTGAGTGTGATGCTTCTTTTGGGCCAAGAGCATCAAATGGGGGACTGTAAGAATCTATAGTCTGCCCCGACCCAGATTCCACTCCACAATATATGTTTGATCATGCTCATTTCCCAAAATGGCTTAATTATTATAGAGAAGAAGAAAGTCAACAGTTATGTTGTTTCTAGACCATTTGGGATGATCACATCCTGAGCAAATGATGATCAATTGTAGAATGGGAGAGGGTGTGGGACACCGAGAACCACCTAAGACAAATGGGTGTCAGAACTTAATTAACATACAGACTACAGCTGTTACAACAGGAGCAACTTCACTTACATTAAGGGTAGTAAACTGTAACTGTATAAAAGGTTTGAGTTTAGGATATTCTGGGTTCATTCCGACTCCGTTGAACCCAAGGTACTCCATGTACTTTGTCACTGCTATGCTGAAATAAACATCTTCATCAAGATCTTCAACGTCCTCATCACTTTTTCTTACATTGTGCAACAACCAGAATAATTTAAGAGAAAATCATATATTGTGTGTTTCTACAAAATACTGTAAGCTGAAGTAATATACTGTGGAGCAGAAACAGAAAATCCAGCCAAATAGCCTAAGCACTGTAACTTAATTATGAATGTATTAACATGACACAAAGCATATGAATAAACAAATAAATAATGCATGAGGTTTGATAGAATCCACTGACATCTGTGATCATTTGAAGTTTCTAAAATTACACTTTATCACACAAGCTAATATTATTTCCATAAGCAGTGAGGCATTTCTGAATAGTGTGGCTTGTTTGAACTTGTATTCACCTGCATAGACACAAAAGCAGGCCTATGAACTTATAAGGCAGAGAATATTCAAGTGTATCCATGCTGGCTTATACTGTGCGTCCAGCCCGATTACTGCAGGAGAGATGTGTTCATCTGCATGCAAATTTATTTAGACCGCTACAAAACTTTACAGTTTTTCGCTACTTGTTTTACTTTACAATCTCTGGATTTTCAATGATGAACTGGCATTCATTTTTGTCAACTCAGCACTTGAGTCAATGTATATTTAGGTACAATATACAAGGCAAACAGTTCTAATGATAAATGTAAAAAAATATATGCCATTTTACAATATAGTTACAGTACCATGTGACAAACAGTGTGGGAGAAATACAACATAACTCTACATCATAACACATTCTCTTCACCTATGCAGCACAATACATAAGATGTCCGTTGTTGTAATGTAGTATTAGTACAGTTAAATTACAAATCAAGTACAGTACAATGCCAGTCAAGTTCAGAGAAGACACTTGAAAACAAGTCATAAAGCCTAAAACCGACAGGCGTACTAACACTGCGGCATTCTTTCTTAGCTCATGCATGAACAATGATTTAGTCAGTTGTTTTATTAGGAAGACAAAACCTTCCAATATTTTCATTTGTAACATTTTATTACACACCCAGCCCTAAAATTTATCTGGCTGTTTAAAAAAAGGACCTGTGCTTTGCTCACAAGAAAGCATTACAAAACTATTGAAAACATACTGTGACATTAAATAGCCATAGAAGTCTGAAATGCATCCAAAAGACCATTCACAAATACAATTGGGCAAGAGGTATTCACCTCCAGTAAACTGAATAAAACACTGACAAAGAAACAATGCAGTTCTGACCTGGGTTGAAAATGAATGTATACACAATGTAATGTAACGCATTTCTAGCCTGAGAAATAGTGGTAGTAATGGCTTCTTGATAACTACGGCAAAGTTAACTTTTGACATAAGTTTGTGCAAAGCACTTCTTAATGTAACGCCAATTTTGTATCTTGGGTGTTGGCAAAGACAACTGCAAAAATCATGCAAAGTACAGGTTATTTTTATGATCCTATGAACTACTACACATGTATGAACTGCAGCATGATAAAAGACCAAAGAAAATGAGTTGTTTTCATGGGAAAAAATGCCTGGCCTTAAAATAAAGAAATAAAGAGTTAAACACATTCTGCAACATCACAGAGTCATGTAAACAGTTGTCTTATTATTGCATTTTTCATGTGACATGCTCACTCTGACAGAGTAATTAGATGGTTGCGAAACCAAGTTTTAATGTCTCTCAAAACATCTTGTGAAAATGTCATTCGGGTAAACAAAGAGTAAACAAATACTCATAGTGACAGATATGGTCTATAGAGCATACACTCACACAATGCCACAAAACTGCATTTAGATGGAGCGTCCAACAATTCCAGCCAGGGATTTGCTATGAGAATGGTCTGCACTAGGGTGGTTGTTGCTGATGTAATTTTATGGGGGAATGAGCCAAACAAAACTCAATTTACCCTGGTAAAATTGCGCTGAGCAAAAGATAGGAGGAAAATACTGAAAAGGGGAAGGAGGTTTACCTCATTTGTCACTGTACTGTCCAATCACAACACTTCAGAAGATGGGCGAATAGCCACACTGTTCCAGTCCATGCCTCTGAAGAAATGCACAAACAAAACAAAACTACACTAAAAAGACCCTTTTGGCCCAGGATTGATTGAATAACATTTCTGTTATCATTCAGTGGGGAGATAGTATGAAATGTTGCTGAGTAGACTGATGCCACAATACATTGTATATTCAAGACAACATTGACCCTGTGTTGGTGGAAAGGAGAGCAGGATAAGCAAATATTTTAGAGGTATAGATGAAATGAGTAAACAAACCAAAAAATAACTTAACCGAAATGAAGTGCTTACAATTCAGCTTCAAGCAACTTTTTCAGCGACTATAATAGGATATGTCTGTTAAAATATGGAAAACAGCTTCATTGTGAAAAATAATTTCTTGTTATATATATATATATATATATATATATATATATACAGGACACATTTACTTAAAGCAAAATTATGCAAGAGTTGTTGTTCAGGAACATGTCGATTTAAGTTTATCTTACTTCACTGGCAAATATTTTTTTCTTTTTAAGCACAAACCTCACCATACCTTAATAGATCTCTGCTTCAAGCAAGAAAAACTTTTAATAAAAGTTGTTAAAAGATAATTTCAATAAAAATTATATAAATGGGTCTGGTTTAAGGAAAAAAAAAAAAGAGAAAATTATTATTTTTTGCAGTGTACACCTTGGTCAAAGAAGAGTCAAAACTGTTTAGCTTCTCAGAAATGCCTCAGATGTGTGAAATATTGTACTGCCTTTAAAATAGTCTGAATGAATTTGAATAAATAATGATTTCTCAGGTGAATAAATAATGTATAAATAAATAAAAAGATAAATAAACAGATACTTGTGCCTTTAGCTACGGTTCAAAAAAGTTCTCATTGACTGGCACCTTGTGTAGTCCAGAGGCTTATACTTCTAATGATAAGCCATTCTTTCTGACTTGCAGTTACCACAATGCGAACACACTCAATATCAAATGCTATCTTGTGGTCCACACCATGAACCTCAATGTTTCCATTTTTAAACTCCCCTAAAGTTATATAAGAGGAGCACTGCCTTCCCTTTTTGGTTCCTACTAATTTCTCCCCCACTTCCAGAGCTCCGTGATGCAAAATATCATTCTGCCGATCATCCGTTCCCGTGATGATCTTGATTCTGCTGATTTTAGTTGCCTTGTTGAACACTATTACATAAAAGTCCCCAGTGGACAGAGCCTTGCCCCAAAAGTACTCATCCACACTACTGTAAGCTTTGGCAGCATCATAGCTCTCAAATACATTTATGTTTGTGTACAAACTGGCAGGTGGGTTGTCTGGGATATCAAGGGAGTCTTCCTCAAAGTCATCATCCTTAAGTTTGTTTTCTGCCCCCTTATAAGAGGAATAGTAGCCCATGTGTTGGAAAAGGGAAGGCTTGAAGCGAATCGCATCCTTCTGGGCCAGTAGGCCTCGGAAATGGATAAGAAGCCAATCGCAAGGCATCTCCTGATAGAACATGAGCAGGAAATGGGCAAGTCTGGGAAGGTCTCGTGAGTGGTACAGCTTCCCTATGTAGCCCAGTTTGGAGAATTCCAGCATCACCCAATACGATCCCTCCCTAGATGCTACCACTTTCTTCAGGGCGGTGAGAAAGTTTCGAGAACAGCGCACATCATCCTCCAACATCATGTAGAAATCTGACAGGTTGGTGCAGAAGTTGAGCAGAAACGCGTAATCTACATTCTGTTTGGAGCGGAAGCGTACCCTATCCTCCGGATCATTGTAATTTCTCTTCAACCCATCCAGGGATGGGTAGTATTCCTCAGGTGCATGGATAACTAGCAGCCGTCCTGCAATGATATGGTGACCGAACTTCCTTGAGATTTCCTGAACTAGGCTCTCGCACCATGCCAGATCAAAATCTGCCAAGTGGACAACCACAACAATCTCTTTGAGCTCCTCGTAGCTTGACTGGTCAAAAATAGACTTGATGGTCTCCAGCAGATAGTTTCCTCGTTTTCTTTTCACAGACGACAATCCAATGGTGAGATACTCTGTAAAAGAACATGAAAAATCATGGAGTAAGAGAATATATGCCTTGAACAGACCTGATACCTTGTCTAGGATAGAAAAAATATAGAACATTTCTTAATCAATATTTTTGTTATGTTGCCCAGTGAGAAATATACAAATATTACTAAAACAAAATAAATTTACTTAAAAAGCAAAATTATGTAAAATATAAAAAGTTGTTTTTGGATAAAATATCTCAAATTAAGTTATTAGCCCATTCACATTTTTTTTCTTTTTTTTAGACATAAATCTCACTAGACCTTATTAAATTTAATCTTAAAGCAAGAACAAGCTATTTGATAATTTCATAAAAGTATTAATTTTGTTTAGCAAGAAAATATGTTCTTAGCCCATTCACATTTTTTTCTTTTTTTTAGACATAAATCTCACTAGACCTTATTAAATTTAATCTTAAAGCAAGAACAAGCTATTTGATAATTTCATAAAAGTATTAATTTTGTTTAGCAAGAAAATATATCTGATTTTAAGGATGTTTTTTTTTAAAGTTTTTTTACAATTAAACATTTGAACATGAAGCATTTTTAAAGAGACTTGATCTAGACATATGGTGTAACATTTGGAGTTGTGCCTTTGTTTTGCCTTCTCGTGTATATGTATGTATAGGGTGTGTGTGTGTGTGTGTGTGTGTGTGTGTGTTTGTGCCTATACATACATATACAGAAGACCACAAATAAATAAATAAATACATACATAAATAAATGAACAACTCGAAATTCTAGATCATAAATAATACAGTCGTGCAGTTTTGCATATTGTACATATTTTTTTACTTATTTGTTTAGAATTTTTTTAACTGTGTGTACTGTTAATACTAAAGTATACAAAGGAAAGCAGTCTTACTCTTTCGAGGTAAAGGTGTTCCAGCAAGGTACCGATAAGTCACGTTGATTGTTCCAGAAAAATTGGTGATATCTTTAAAGGTATGAACATATCGCTCTGAGTTCAGTGGATGCATTGAGGTTTCTCGTAACTGACGTTTGTCTTCCTCCTGAAACACATGACATCCAAGATCCAAGTCTAAATATAAAGTCTAAAGTAAGTCAAAGTTTGTCACAACATTTCAATTGAGATTTAAAGTGGTGGAGTGGGGTATGAGTGGTTATGAACGAATGAATAAAACGCATTTGTCCGTGTTTCACTCTGTCTCGAATCGCGCTCACGGAAAGCGCGTGAGAAACAGTGTCTCTTCCGCGGCTCGGTACGCTTTCAACTCGTTTTTTTTGTCTCGAGCAAGACTGTACCACATTCACATTACATGATCTGACTGATTTTTACGTAGAAAGGGCGACAGCGCACCGCATTAAAAGAAATGATCATTCATGTTTTCATAACCGCTGGCCAAATTCAAAAACAAAACTAAAATTAAATCATCTCTGAGAGCAAGGGGGCCCCCTGGTGTTTCGGGGACCCTACGCAGCTTGCGTATTTTGCGTATATGGAGGATGGGCTCTGGCTGCAGGTAATTATTTTTAGATTTGGCAATATTCTTGCACACTCTTGTATAATCTCATTAACTGTAAATGATGGCCTTTGAATAATTAATTGTACACACAATATTACTTACTCAACGTTTTAAATAACTTATCTTGTATTAAATTATAGCATCTTTTTACCACACATGAACTGTTCACACTGTTCACAAAATTTTTGCTGGCTGTGATGGTGTTTGTATTTCAATTAAATGGGTGTTATTTGGAACAGTGACTTAGTCAAAATGGGTACAAATTTTGAATAATTCAACAGACAAACACTCGCGACATGTTATGATCACAAAGTTTTGATCATAAAGTTGGCCTCATGAATAATACATTTGTCTCTTGCATTTGGACTGCGTCTACATCATGAAATTTTAAATAAGCTGCAGCGTGAGCTCTGATAATTATACATGCACAGCACAGCACCGGCAGCCTTACACGCAACATTTGGTAATTAAACCATATAAACAAAATAACGTTTCAGCACAGAGATAATTAATGCTAAATCACATGCAACAACAGTAGTCAAGTTGTTGTGAAGCCCACTATTGTCTTGTTATCTGCTCCACTGATGTTGTAAATAAATTGACCTCTATAATTTACCAGGTAAACAAACTCACCAGCACGTAGCCATCCTCGATGTAGAGGTTTATGAAGAGCAGGAAGGTAATGAGAGCCACCAGAAAAGGAATGGTAGAACGTTTCCGGAAACATCTCATCTTGTCCAAGTACTTCAACACCAGTCTCATGATGGAAACACTACCGGTGTGATCTGATAGAAACAAAGAGAAAATACTATATCAGGATGTATCAAACGCTAAAAATACGTTAGGCATTTCTCAGACTGCTGTGTTTATCTTCTTTGAATTGCAATTCAGTATATTTCCCTTTATGTCATTCAAATTCAACTTCCTGTGGGGTGTGGCCAATTCAAAATCATGGTTTAACTGAATGGGAGACAATTTTTCAATTCTGAATTTTGAATAACCCTGATAGAAGTATAGTTCTGATGTCTGATATTTCAGATGTGAAAACTCTACTGTAAAAATTAAGTGCATCTCCCTAAAATGATCATGTCTTTATTATTCAGGAGAAACTGACACCAATTTCTGGCTGTGCAGCAATAAGAGAAGCACTTCTTTTTCTATATAAGACAGGGCATTCACTCTAAGGTCACACTAAAATAAGCGACAGGCTTGTGTGCCTCTAAGCACAGTAATTAACCCGACAACCATGTAGGTATAATACAGACTTCAGCTGAAGAACACGCTGTGAGGTTAATATCCCGACCCTGCTCACCAGGCATTAGCAAAGTATGTACTCTGTGCCTTTAAGTCCTATTGTTTTGCCCTTTTTGAGGTCTGTGCATCAAGTACAAAGTATGGTTCTTAAAAGCTATACTGCAAAATTGCATTTCAATTTCAGCTATCTTCATCTGATGATACATGGTTGGAGTGACTGTCTTTGAAATAGAAGAAAAAACATTTCAGCTATATGTGCATAAAATAGGCCCCAGGCGTTCTTTTATTTCTAACCTCAAATTACACAGAGTAATCCAAGAATAGAAAGCAGGACGCAAGTGTTTTGGAAGGCTTTCATGTATCAGCCTTTTTGATGGCTCCTGCTAAGAACCTTAGACCACTAATGGAATACAAAATAACTTTACAGCCGATCCCATGACCAGATGCGTATCGATTCTGCCCTCCGCCAACCTTTTTCAAATGGGGATTGTCAAAACAATATTCTATGAGCTCTTGCTTGTGCTTAAAAAGTAGTGAACACATTGAGACTACACATGTGGGGTTTTATACATTACCAGTTTGGGGTCTTTTTTACATTTTTTTTTAAAAAAGAAATTAATACTTAAAAAATACAATAATACATTAATACAGCAAGAATGCATTAAATTGATCAGAAGTGACATTAAATAGACAGTAAATAGTAAATGTTACAAAAACTCAACTGCTCAACTGTTTTCTACTTTAATAATAATAATTGTTTCTTGAGTAGCAAATCAGCATATCATAATTATTTCTGAAGGATCAAATGACACTGAAGACTGGAGTATTGGCTGCTGAAAATTCAGCTTTGCATCACAGGAATACATTTCATTTTAAGATATATTCAAATAGAAACAGTTTAAATTGTAATAATATTTTACTGTATTTTTGATCAAATAATGCAGCTTTGGTGAGCTTGAGAGACTTCTTTCAAAAACATCTTAAAAATCTGACTGACCTCAAACTTTTTAATGGTAGTGTACATAATACCTTTTTAATGCATTTTTAATACATATTTAATAGTCTAAGTCTTTCTTGTCAAAGAAACCTTTAACCAAGACAAAAAAAAAATGCTATGCATTCGTACGTAATGACATTTGTACAAATACCATAACTACTGTCCACTGCAGAAAATGTCAGTACCTAAATATATAATATGCAATTATTATCATTCATAGTAAAATAACACTTTAACTTTTTAAACCAACTCATTATAACACAACAGAATGTAGACAGCAGAAAAGCATGTTGCCAAACCGATAGTTGAACTGCACATTTCATTTTCTTGTGCATTTAATTACACAAGTGGCTGGCTTTTAAAGTTTCCAGTTCAAACCATTTAGCATTTTGATACATGCAGGTGGATTCATGTAATGTTAATGCAGCGTAATAGCAATGCTGGATTGATTCAGCCTGAAAACCTGCATCATCCTGCACTGGCGGTGAAGTGAGAAGAACCAGAGCAGACCCCTAACAGACCACTGATGATTTTGCATAACATCACATGGTACCTAATTCTAATACTTTACCTCGCAAACTACTTGATATGATCATATGAGAAATTTCTGATTTTAATAACAATTTTTTATAGTGAGGCTGAGCCAATAACTAATATCATCTTACAGTTAAGAGTAGCTGGAGGGGGATTAAAAGGATAGATAAAAGGAAGAACCTTCTGCAGAACACAAATGAAGATTTTAAATAATGTTGTTTCGAAACAACTGAAGAGGCCATTGACTTTCATTCAAAAAATCTTCTTCTGTGTTCCACAAAATAAAGAAAGTCGTAGAGATTTTGGAACAACATGAGGGTGAGGAAATGATGACTGAATAATTTCATTTTTGGTGAATTTTCCCTAACTCCAGTAGCATACCGTGCACAACCATTTAAAGGAATAGAAAAGTGAGCTCATATAAAAAGCAAGAAAGAAAATTCAATGAAGATGTTTTCTTGAACTAAGCAGACAGAAAGTTAAAATGCCATTATAAATGTTTCCAAATATCTTGTTGCAAAACTGGCTGCATTTCCCAGATATTCTTCCACCCACTCAAATCTCCAAGTGTCCAAACACTTCAGACAGAACCTCAGGCAGAAAATAAAACATCTATTAGAAATGTATTAAAGGGGTCATATGATGTTGCTAAAAAGAACATTATTTTGTGTATTTGGTGTAATGAAATGTGTTTATGCGGTTTAAGGTTAAAAAAACACATTATTTTCCACATACTGTACATTATTGTTTCTCCTCTATGCCCCACCTTTCTGAAACGCGTCGATTTTTACAAAACTCATCGGTCTGAAAAACGAGGTGTGCTCTGATTGGCTATCCAGCTATCCAGTGCGTTGTGATTGGCCGAATACCTCAAGCGTGTGACAGAAATGTTACGCCCCTTACAGGCCATAATAAAGTGATTTTGCTTTCGCACTGAAACACACAGTGTCTCCCTGACATGGCTGCATGAACACTACTGCGTTCCTGAAACCACACCTTCTTTGCGTGCACATTTGTGCGGCATTATGCTAATATTTCCACATAGTGAAGTAGGTATGTGGGGGCGTGTTAGAACGAGCCGTTTTAGGTAGGCGTGGTTGACTCTTAACTTTTATAAAGAATATCTCTTCAGATTTGAGACTTTAGTCTTTGCAACTTTACAGATCTTCTTTATGCACCAAGAGCTTGTAACACTTCAAAGAGAAAAGAAAAATTGAAATCGCATCATATGACCCCTTTAAGCTAAACTGACATTATCCCTCCTCCTTTCATGATGCAGAGAATGGCGCTTGTTGACATAAAAAAAAACATTATGAGCTCTGAAACCTAAAACTCCTCAAAAATGATAGAAAAACTAAAATTTAATAATGACTGCATTTCTTCCCAGAATAAAGCTGCAGATTTAGTTTGTAAAAGGGAAAACCACCAGCCTGGTACCTTCATCTATTGCATAATTACACCTGACAGGGTCTGACTCTGGAAGAACTGAAATTACAGGCAGAAGCAGAGCCGTCCACAGCTGCCGAGGATCTCACTTTTGCAGAGGTCTCATTTGAGGGAGGGCTGACGTAAATAACCTGTGGTTCAGTCCCATTTTCTACTGCTCTGTAGATCATCACTTCCTGGGCCGAGCAGCCCTTTTATCAGTCAATATAAACTGGCCATTTAGAGCGGTACCGCCGTGCTTAATGAAGCAGCTCAATTAGAGAACGAGAGGAGTAATCCAAAGATTTGATTTCATAAAAACACACGCAATCCAGATGGTCCCTCTGACTAACATTGGCTTGTTAGTGCATTACGCTGCGTTCGCTAATGCGAACTGCCACAGTTTACCAAACTCATAGGAAGTGTACTTATAAACACCCATTCATTTTAAAATGAGAACATGGTGCTAGCGTCATTTCGAGATATGCACATTTGCAGATATTTATCTACCGTTCTTATCTTTTCACTCTCCTCTTGGTGATGGAGAGAGTGTCATTTCTCCCAGGGTGGAGTCTCTCTCTTTGCCTTGGTGACATGAAATAGAGAATAAACATTAGAATGAGAAACAAGAAGCTCCCTGGTGAGAGGAAGGCAATTACAGTCATGTCTGATGTGCCGCAAGACCCCATGAATAAGAAAAACAAATCAGTTTACGGAGTTGGAAATGGCTTAGAGAGATGTTTGAGGAAGGATGTCTAGTAGATTATGAGACTGCTATGCAATTTTTATTATGTAAATGCACTATGAGAGAATGTGGAATTAGAGAACACTTGGTTTGATTTGGATTTAATGCAAACACTCACAGCATCTCGACTATAAAGAATGAACCTACAAGGCCATGTACATGAGGGTATTGCGGCTGTTTCGCTGGTGTAAATCTGCAATCAAAGAATTACTGCAGCAAGCAAGGGAGTCTTGTGTATTTTCTACAAGCCTGATCCTTTAAGGCCAAAATACAAACATGTGTGAGTCCGCAAATTTCCTTACAGCTTGGTTTTAAAGTAAATTAAGACTCTAAAACATCTTGTCACTGAATAATTCCAATTCTAATTCTTAAAAAGCAAGCCAAAACGAAGCTAAACCCTTTCAATTTTCCTGCCACACAGACGCTTGCAGCTCAAATGCTCAGCTAATGTTGAAATCATGAGCCACCCATATTCTTTCAAATCAAAACAGCTTCATAAAACCTCCCTCAGCTGTAGCTTTTATGCTACTTGGGACGCAGAGGCGTACCTTGCCTTAATGTGAAAACCTGCATAGAGTAGAGGGGAAAAAAAGCCATTTTGACTAAGAGAGTAACAGATTAATAAAGCTGGCAGTAGAAAGCAATTCTTCCACATTTGATCTTGTTATCTGTTTTACATTATTTCCCAAGGGTATGCTGCACCTCGCTGATATACAGCTCTGCGCAAATAATCAATTAAGCCAGCAGATTCTACAGCTTTCTGCTCTTGCTTTGTGTCAGAGCTTCAGCCACTTAAATAGATTTTTCTCCTCAACAAAAGAGCTGAAAAG